CATTTTTGTATATATACATATATATATTCAGTTCTTTAAGCGGATGACAGTGGGTGGTGTCCACCGGCCACCCGCTGGGTTTCCTTCACCTTGACAGTGCCACTGGGATGCAATGGGGTTGGGTTGGAAAAAAGGGGAGGGGTGGAGAAGGTCTGGCAGTAAATAAAATATCTCAACTCTGCTGGAATTTAGTCGGGGAATGGAAATTGAAATTGATAGGGCCGACATAAGACTACACACGGAAAAATGTGGTTGGTAAAATTAATTAACCTCAATGTTTGTAAGCCTATAAAAAAGACTTTACCACTTATAATATAATGAGTATTTACTTTTATAAGATTTAATACTCATAAATATAATGTTGCTTTGACATTTTAAAATAACTTCAGAAAGTTAGTCAAAAATGCATTAATTTAGTCTTATAAAGCCCTTACGTTTTATAGTAAAACTTCTGTAGCACTGGTCAAATTTGTTCCATTTGACTAATATCCATTATTTCCGTCGATTAGAACAATTGGTTTTATTGGCATTTTGGGTACTTTGATTAAACTTAATGAATTAATTAAAAAAACTTACCGTAATCCCCGAAGGATTTTTCATTTATTTCCTAAACGGAATATTAGTAAGCTTCATAATATAGATCATATATAACAGGCTCTTTTATAGATTACATTTTATTTATAAAACTTACGATAGTTTCCTTCCCTAAATCCCCTGTCTTGGATTGCTATTATAATGATATTATAGCCCCCAAGATTTGCTTAGCAAACAAAGCGAAGAGCCACCCTAGAAAAGCAACCAGCTCGCTGAAATTATATTTCAATCAATGCAAATCACTGTTTATTTGTTTTCCTTGGCAATTTGTTTCAATTTGATGGCGCAAGGCATTAATTGAAGTCAACCACATCCTGTTTGGGTAGCTTGGGTAGTTCGGGTTGCTTGGGCTGTTCGATGGGAGGCCCTATATAAGGTGCGTGCTTACATATATGTGTTTATTGTCCTTGTTGCGGTCTTGTCACTAATTTGATTTGCTAGTTTGCCCTACTTTCTTCAGCACACCACCCCCTCCTCTCGGGGAAATTGAAATGAATTATTTGTCATAAGAAAATCCTTGGGCCTGCCTTTCTGTATACTCTACTTTATTTCTTTCTTTCTTTTTGTCATTTCTGGGCCAACTCTTTCTACTTTCTACGTTGGCCACCCTCTTTTCTGCCTGACTTTGCATAAATGTAAACAGATTTCCCTCCCGGGACTTGGCAAACATTTTTGCTAAATTGAAAAGTAAAGCAAACAAGTGTAATATACCTATAGGAATATATATGTATATATAGGTTGTGTGTGTGGATTATATAGCTAGACACCTGACTTACAATCGGGCATCAGATGGGAGATAAGAGATCGCTTTATTTCTTATATAAATGTGTATTCACTATTATATTGACTTTACTTTTAATGGTTCGGGCCTTGGGCTTCTATTTGTTTGTAATATTGATTCTATATTTATTCTATATATATTTTTCTAAGCTTTAAATCGGCTTCACCCCCAATTAGTTATGAGAATCACGTTGCTAGGTGGATTTGCTATATGCACACATTTAAGATGGAAGGTGAGCTGTCATTTTGATACCCGATGCGAGTCGATTAGATTCAGATTCCTGCACATACTTATACTTATATACCTAACTATATATATTGGCCAATTGATGGATCCATTTTGGTTTCATTTTCATTGCTCCGGCGCCTTAATCGGAATCGAATCGAATTGAATCGTGCAACCGAAGATTTGTTTGGACAGGTGCAATATTTATGCCAAGGTGTAAATAAATAGCTATAGGTATTCCATTCTCCTTTGTTCGATTTGAAGACATTAATAAATTCAATCTGTGTGTGTAGATGGTGGTATTGTGTAAGGAGAACCGTTTGTTAGCACAAGGTGTTTGCTTGAAGTACTAGGGAATTTAAGAATAGAATCGAATTATCTAGCTCTTACCGCCGATTAACAAAAAGTCAAACTGCATAACCGCGGAATAAATTGAGAGAGTGTGGCTTGCAGTTCATAATAATAAACGTCAGTCTAATTAATTACTCTAGCTCAGCTCTCGTTAAAATTCTTGAGGTTTTCTCCACTTCTGCTCCCCCGTCTTATGATAGACCTCCCTTTTCTTCTTTTTATCTACGACGCCCTACGTCGTACTCCTCCCGATTCCCTATTTTCTTTGTCCCAGGGCGATTAACATAAATCCCTGGCACGTGCTGAGAGTCGCTACGTTCCGGTTTTATTTGCATTCTAAAAATTGTATGCAAATGCCAGTGGATGAGATAGAGCCCTTTGTTTTGCTTCAACTGTAAGCGTTGGAATAAATGCGATAAGAGTGCCGAAATAAATCAAAACCAGAAGAAAGCTTACACAGGTTCAGATGTTCAGATATACAGATATAAAGATACAAAAATACATAGATACATGGATACATAGGTACATAGATACAAAGATAGATAGATAGATAGATGGCGAGGTGTGAACATTTGTGTGCAATCGCCGTGAGCCAAAATTGGAAATCTGGACTCTGCTGCACTGCTTTTCATCTGCTAGGGAAAAGGAAAACCTTCGGCTTTGGGCAATTGTCCGGAGGGCCAGTGAGAAAACCAACTGGCATGGCAGGAAAGTAAAAGAAAAGAAAAGAAAATAGAAAATGGAAAATGAAAAACTGACAGTCTGAGGTCATTCTGCCAATTATAATGCAGCGAAGGACTGCCTGCCGAGGATGATGAAGTTGATGGCACCATGGGAAGGGCAAAATGTGGAGATGATAATGGGAATAGAATTTTACAGTTGCAGCACAGTGGTCGCAGGAAAAGTAGAAAGTTCGTAAAGAAAAACAGCTCAAAAAACTGGGGAAACATATATCATATCATATATCTTTTAAGGGGTCATTTCAATTTTAATATAGAATAATTCACAGTAATCGTTGAAAAAGTAGAAAGTTTTTAAAACGTTTCAAAGCAATCCTAAAAGAAAAGGACCATTCCAATTTTAAGACGAAATAATCCCCCCTTGCAATCCCCACTGATATAATAAAAACCCACCGAAGGACCGACCACTGTAAAGATACAAATGCACTGCGGAAAACGGCAGATGATGAGCTGTAAAATGATGATGGTGGCTGCATTAAGGATGAGTTTATCCATTAGAATTCAACAGCGGTTGCCCTGCTGCTGGGAAAGTCCGGGAAAAGGGAGCCGGAAGACGGGGAGCAGCCGTAATGCAGTGAGAAATGCCGGAAGAAAGTAATACATTCACCTTAAGTAACCCGTAAACCGAAACCAGCAGAAAGTTCCGCACATCATTGCAAATGCATCAGAGGTCGTGGGGGAAAAGCGGGAAAGTTGGGAGGGCGGGGACAGGCGGAAATGGAGATGGAAATGGGCCAAAGGACACGTGTATATCGCCGTTGCACCGTTGCAACATTCTTGTGGTTGCCTTAACCCCTTTGCACCATGGACTAGAACAAGGGCCTTTATAAATAAAATAAGATTGGAAGGTTACAAAAAATATATTGTGAATATTTTTTTAGACCATTTAGGAGTTACTAAATCTTAAAATACATTTTTTTTGAACGCACACGAACATCTATCATACTTAAATGTGAGAATAAAATTATACTTGGTCCACCCTAATAAGAGCAATTGTAGATTACTATAAGATTATGATATCATGCTTTTTGATATATTACAATTGACTAAGGCAAGACAATTTAAAGATTAAAAGTGAATAAAAAAACATACTATCATATTAAAAATATATGGTAATCATATGTATTCTTCCTAATTTTTCCTAATTTCTTATTATTCACCAATTGAACTTTTCGAAATGAAATATTCAAAATTCTTTGAATTTTGTCATGGTCAAAGGGGTTAAGGCTCGTTTAACATTCCGTTCAGTTTGGGTTCGTTTTGATTCCAATGCCGATCGAGTTCCTTGGGGTGGCACATGGAACAGGGAAAGTCGGTGGAGTTGGGAGATGGGATTTTGAGAGGGGGCTGGTTTCGACCAACAAAACAGTTCCGGCTCAGTAGACTCTAAAGTGATTGCGGCGACACAACGGGCGGGCCTCGTTGGATAACCGTAGCCTCGGGCTCCCCGGGCCTCCTGATGTCCCGTTGTTTCGGCCTCTTGGCCACCTGGCCACCTCTTGCTTAATGGTCAACAATGTGGTCGAAGGATTTTCGACCGATTTTCGGCCTACCTCATGCAATAGCAACAGCATCAGCAGCCACACGTCTGCCTCCCCCCAAAAAGGCTGATTGCAAAGCCATCAAATTTGTCGTCACAGTTCTTCGGTTTGGTTCGGAATTAATCCAGCTTCTCTGGGTTGTATCGTTATGTAAGGAATTTCAAGGCAGTGGGATGGGGGGTATGGAATTGGGGTTTCTGAACCACTTCCAGCCGGTTGTGTGTGTGCAGCACTTTTAAACCTGTTCGGTAAGCGGTTTTAATTAGGGTTGAAAACTAGACGAACACTAATCATATGTTAGCCATATAACTTTATGGCAATTAGACAGGGGGACAGCACGAAAAAAGGGTCAGTATCTTGCCCATTTAAGTGGCTTTTAAACTAGTCCCGAAATGCATAAAATATTCAACTGGTTCTGAAGCATTTTCAAAAGGTTCAATTATTTATGGCTAGCTTATAAGCCTAAGGGTAATATGGTAACCTAGTTGTAAAATTCTTTAAAGGTTTTATTTTGTATAGATAACAAATTTAAATTTTGATATACTTTTGAATAAATGTAGTTTTTGTTGGGTTGTTCTATAAACATAAGCTGCCAGTTCTATTTAATAAGTCTCTGTTTAAATAAGCTCCTGTTAAGCTACTATCAACACATTTAAATGTATGTACTTATCAATAAGTTGAGCTGATTCTGACTTGTTTTTGTTTATCAATAAGCTGAGTTCATTCTGGCCTGTTATATAAATTCTGTTCCTTTTCTTCCTTTTACAGCTGCCAGTACTACGTGAAGAGCCATCCATGGGTGCTGGCCTACCAGGGCGTGATCACATTCTTCGTGCTGGCCAACTTCACGCTGGCCACCTTCATGGACCCGGGCATCATCCCCAAAGGTATGTAGCGTGCTGAGCAGGGGCCAAAGCCAGTCGTCACGGCCTAAACTTGACTGCATTCTAGCCTCGCCCGACGAAGACTGCGAGGAGGAGCTGCGCGCCCCGCTCTACAAGAATGCCGAGATCAACGGCATCACCGTCAAGATGAAGTGGTGCGTCACCTGTAAGTTCTACCGCCCGCCACGCTGCTCCCACTGCTCCGTCTGCAACCACTGCATAGAGGTGAGTCCTGAAAGTCCATCTATTATACATCAGTTTAACATCATTACCACCCCTACTTTCGATTCAGACCTTCGATCATCACTGTCCGTGGGTCAACAACTGCATCGGCAGGCGGAACTACAGGTTCTTTTTCTTCTTCCTGGTATCGCTATCCATTCACATGCTGAGCATCTTCTCGCTGTGCCTGGTCTACGTGCTGAAGATAATGCCCAACATCAGGGACACGGCGCCCATTGTCGCGTATCCTTTTGCAAACACACAAATAATTTAAAACATATTTGATATCCAAACTAATTCTAAAAATGTTTATAGAGTGCCAAAGTTTATGGGATAAGATAAGGGTTTTTGAACAGCTCACTGGATTTATTATATAAAATCATGCAAACCTACAAAAAAAAGGGTTCTTCAACCTAACATGTTTAGCTTGGCATGACTTTTTAAAATAGATTCAGTTAGTCAAAAATCAAGCTAGTGTCATAAGACCTTATTTACGATAGATTTCTATCAAATCAAGCTAAAAGAATATTTTTGTTTTTTTTTGACTTTTCAAACCACATATGAATGTTTTAAAAATTCAAAAAACCATCTATAAGGTATTGTATTTTAAAGTTCTTCTATTATTTTTATAAAAATAGCTCTTCTATAATATTTTTTTAGTATTTATGGTAAGAAGTGATATCAAATTGACAGGTTATTGGTAAAATATCTCAGGATCTGCAGGCACATTATGTTCCGCCCATTGGTTTGCCTTAACTCTCTCCGTATACAGCATGATCCTGATGGGCCTGGTGACCATTTTGGCCATCCCCATTTTCGGTCTGACCGGCTTCCACATGGTTCTGGTGTCACGGGGTCGGACGACCAACGAACAGGTGACGGGAAAGTTCAAAGGTGGCTACAATCCGTTCTCGCGCGGCTGCTGGCACAACTGCTGCTACACACAGTTCGGACCCCAGTATCCCAGGTGAGTCCAAGGTCCCTGACGAGGAGGTTCCACTGTCGAGCTCGTGGCAGTACGGAAATTACCATAATAAATATCCAAATTGGACTGCCAATTATTGGCTTCAGATTACCTTTTCCTTGGGGAGGCAATTTGACTGCAAATTGAAATAGTAGTATTGTAGATTGTAAACCCCCGAACTTGATAGCCAATTATCTTTTCGCGCCCCTAGGGAGAATATTAAATATCATAAGCACATAAAAATACATTTCTAAAGTGCAATTTTCTAATAGATTGAGCAGCATATTTGATATCTCCACAAAAATATCATGCAAAGTGACATCATTTAAATGACACATTAAATCACAATATGAGCAAAACTATATAGGAAAATATTTTGCGGCATACCAAAGATAATTTTTAAGTGCAATTTTCTAATAGAATGAGCAGCACATTTTTTATCTCCACTAAAATATCATACAATATGACCTAATGCAAATGACACATTAAATGCATCAATCACAAAATGACCTCAATGGGATTTTAAAAATATTAATCTTTTTAACAGCTTCTTATGTGCGTTTGCAAAATTTCTGTTATATATAATCTTACGAACTCAATACAAAATAGAAAATTGTCGAAGATTTTATAAGAATTTGATTTCTTTTTTTTTAAGTAGTAACTAGAGGTTAAGGAAATGTTTTTTAAAAGTTCAATCTAATATATATTTTTTTTATTAATTCATTTTATTATAATTTTTCTTTAGATATAATATATAGATTGATGCAAAACAGTTCAATCAAAATATTGTGTTGAGCCCGTTTCCTTGTCCGCCTGTTAAATTAGGTGTAGGTTAACAATTAGATTAACACGAGGTCGAGAAAACGGTGCTAAAGGCAAGGCCTAGGTCTGGTTTTTATTACTTTTTCGTGAATTTTACTTATCGAAATTATTCTATTTTGTGTCCATAGCTTACTGAACCCGAAGAAGTACGCCTCGCGGAGGTCGCAGGTGCAGAACCAGGCGATCAGCACCATTTGCAACGACCGGAGTGGCCAGCAGACGGGCGCCGGGGGCGGGGCCGGCGGCAATGGGACCGCCGCAGCGGTGGGCGGCGGAGCGGTGGGCAGCGGGGGAGGCGGGGGCGGTATGCGCGGCACTGCGGTGCAGTACTCACCACGCTCCTTCTACGACGCGACCCGCGAGAAGCGCGGAATTCAGGTAAAGACTTATATGGCCGAGGGCAATGGTTATAATCAACGGTCGGGCAGCACAACGCTTTACAGTAAGGTGGGTAAACAACAAGATTTTGCAATATCACCGAGAAAAGCGAAGCAGTTGCTATGCGAAACTCAGATTCCTATTAAATATATCTATGTATTCTATATCTATTGTATCTAATACCCCTAAATAGTGTGCCACAGGTGGCGAAACAGCAATCTCTTATGTAACTTGAATGTGTTCGAAAAACATCTCTGTTCCCAATCGAAATTTAGAACTCTTAATTTAATAATACAACATAATATGATATTATTGATTTATGCGTTAAATTCCATATAAAAGGTTTGTCAAAATTGAGAACTCTTTTCTTATTAATTCTTAAAGCAAGTATTATAATTATAACAATTATAACCTTATAAAGGGTTCATTTTCTCTTAGCGATTGCTGAAGCCACCTGTTGTTGTTGTTTGGCTTAGTTAATGTTGTTGTAATCGTAATTTGTAATTTGTGATTTGTGTTTATTTTACTGTAATTGTAACCGTTAACAGTTGTTTGTTTATGTTTGTTTTGATTTTGTTTTCATTTCTCATCTCGCCTCAATGTAAACAATTTCCATTTGATTTTCTTGACCTCTTACGTTTTTGGTTCTGTTTCTACAACAATTTTCCTTTGCTCATTTCGTATAATTTATCATTTGCTGTGATCCCCTAATAACCCCCAAGCCCCGCCCCCAAAAACGCCCCTTCACCCCGCTTAATGCTTTGACTAATTAACTACAAAATCGATATAAATATAAACATATACATATATGGTATACAGCTGCGGCAACAAAAATAGCACCAGTGTGTAGGCAATTCTTCTTTGTGCTACAGAATGGTAATTTTTTGCAATATTTTTATTCTGTTTGTAAGGGTAAGTAGGGTTACATATCTATTAACTAAAATAAAAGTGGTTACGCCCACAATGCGGATGGTTTTTAAAATTTCGATACATTTATCAAAAAAGTAGCAAAGTTATGCGGCAACAAAAATAGCACCACTTAAATAAAAAACTTAAAAAACTTAAAAATAACGCGATTTGAAAATTTTTTTTGATTGAAATGTATGATTTCATACACCTTAAGGTAAAAAAATATTGTTCTAAAGCTTGGGCTGCAACAACAACAACAACAACGACCGACCTTGACGTCACTAGACACCAGAATCTTCCCTTGGCAAAATTGTTGTCTGGCTCTTTCAAAATAGCTCAAGGGCAGTTTTTTTTCTTCGGTTTTGCATTAAAAACATAGTTTTTTAACATTTCTGCAAAGATTTTCGATGTGTTTTAGTTCTGGGGCTTGTAAGGTCCCCATTATACCATTTAGCTTAAGGGTTTTAAAACTTTGTACGACTTTCTGACTGATTTTTTTTGGGTTATAACCGTGGTAAAGCTTCGGAAATAAATTAGTTTTGTATTACGAATAAAATTGCATCACAATTTCTGAGCTATCAAGGTGAACATGTTGATCCTGTATGGGTTTACATTATGATATGGTACCAACATTATAGTACGAGAATATGCCCATACCATTATACTTGCTTCACCATTATTATTCTTTGCAAATGTGAAATGGGGACTCAATTTTGGATATGTAGGTTACCTGATGTGAATTTAAAGTCTTTTTCATCTAAACATGAGCAATTTTCAGCCGCCAGACCATATAAGAGTGTTCCTTTTATTGTGGGCCTTATTTAAGACTCGCCCTTCAAATTCACCCATGCTCTGCAGTCTAGGGAGATTTTTTTTTTTGACGTCAAGCGCATAATTGATTTGTATGTACATTATATCCAACTTTTTATGTACTTACAAATATTTAAAAAAAAAAAGCGACTTGATAGGCGCCTAAAACGGGACCTACTTGCATTCATGCAAATGACTTTTTAACAGTTATGGGGTCATTGCGGCTTTCGTACTGCGTGCTATTCTTTTGTGTTCTTGTTTTAGGTAACTACTAATCATTATTTTAAAGAATTCAACGATTCAACTTAACTTATCTTTTGCATTGCCTTTATAAATTAGCTTTTTAAATGTCCTTCTATCTGTATCATTACAGCGCGCTAAATGACCCATTGGGAACACTATTTTATGCATTATTTTACCAATTCACTTAGTAGTACTTATTCTTAATACAACAAAACGAAAAACAGCCAACAAATCTGAGCAAATGAAGTTTTATACCCAAAAACCGTTAATAGTGCTATTTTTGTTGCCGCATAATTATGCTACTTTTTTCATAAATGTATCGAAGTTTTAAAAACCATTCGCATTACGCCCACAACCATTTTTATTTTAGTTAAACGATATGTAAACCTACTTACCCTTACACACAGAAGAAAAATATTGCAAAAAATGACCATTTTGTACACAAATAAAAATGGCCCACACTTTGGTGCTATTTTTGTTGCCGCAACTGTATATGTACGTATATACCATTCGTATATATATTTCTGTAGAGAGCTTTATATTTTTTGGAGAAATCTGTGAAGTATCTTTGTGTTGTTGCCGCTGTTTTTGTTGTTCTTGTTGTATTTATTCGTTCTCCGCGTGGGCGAATAAAAGTTTTTCCGCTTTTCCCAGCTGCTCCACACAACACATCCTTCAATCTCATTTTCCACTTTCCCAAACCGCTTTTCCTCTGCACTGCAAAAACTTTTTTGGCTGCCGCTTCTACGTCTTCTTCTTCTTCTCATTTTCCATCTGCTGCTGCATTTACTATTATTATTTTCCTGGCTTTTCCTGGCAAAAAAAGGAAAATGGGGTGGTATGGGGGCTGCTAGTTAGTTAGTTAGTTAGTGCCACGCCCGTTTAATTGAAGGACAAGCAAACCAAATGATGCACACCCACCCATTACCCATTATCCATTTAGAGAAAGCAACGCTCACCCACTCAAAAGTTTTCCAAGTTCCCCCTTTTTTCACCCCCTCCATTGTAATTGCTCTCCACTGTCCTTGACATCTCATGAAAAACGCAGTGAAACCTCTGCCGAACGAACAAGGGGAGTAGGAGAAAATATCTATCTGTCACTGTATAAATCTGTGTACCTATAAATAAGTGTTATTCTATTTTCCTTTTTCAATTTAAGTAAATAACAAATAAATGGCACTTCAACTTTTAGTCACAAATGTATCTTAGCCTTTATCATCAAAGTTAAGTCCGTCTGTAAAACTTAAATACATTTAAAAAAGACCAAAAAACGTAAACAATATTGTGAAATTTATATTAATAACATTATTTATGCAACACAAATCTTAAAGACACTTAAATCTTTAAGATAATAATGAGCTTTTAATGGAACCCCAACTTTCCTAATCCTAAAATCTTAGCAAGAACCAATTAAAATCACTTTGCTGGCTGCAGATTAAGTTTCACCAGTGCAATCAACTGAGAAAAGTGAAAGGCTTCAAAATTTTCAATTTAAAATCAGAAACTTCGGACTGACCGGAGTGGTTTCTCCCCAGTTTACCCACTTAGTTTCTCCCTATTTTCCCGACTTATCTCCGCATTAACACCCCAAAAACCCCCAAAACCCCACTTTGCATGCATGCGGTTGAATTTGTTGAGTTGGCGTTTTAAGTTGCTGGATATCCCGCTATTATTTGAGCTGCATTTCCCCTAATTTACCTTATTTGCTGACTCGTTTTCACTTTGCTGGGCACCTTAACCGTTTCCGTTTCCGTTACTGCGTATATATATCGTTTGTATATGCCGCCCAGAGCTGTCGTTATATCAGTATATATATAATATATAGAAGTATATAGCATACATACTTATATCGAAAAGAATTGGTCGCATCTCCAAATAAACCAGCAAAAGATAAAAGAAAACAAAACCAAAAACTACACTTACTGCAAGCACCGAGAAAGGTAAAAAATCAAGAAAAATATTTAAAAGAAACAAAAAAATTAAAAACTCAAACTAAATTCTTATTTTGTGGATCGTTTATTAATCACTTGATCGATCGATTGACCTTGACTTGTCCCGGAGGATCATTGATTTTAATTTATTGTCCCATTATGATTTCTTTTCCTGATTTCTTGTCTAAATTTAGTACATCTAACCCTGTTTTTCCCTCTCTGAATTGTATCTTTGTCTGTCCAGTCTTCCCTTTCTCTCCACCTGTCTGTCACACAAACTAATTGGAATGATTATAATAATTATTGGGATATATTTTATTGCATTTTGATCCTTTTTTTAATATTGGATCACTACAATTGGAAAACAGAAACACTTCAGTTTTAGGATAATTATCTGCCACTGCTTAAAGGTTTTCACTTAAGATTTAAATCAGAATTCCAATATATTTTTGGTATTGTTTAGGGGTTTGCATTGGGAAGTAATCCTTTCTTTCCATTTCTCTTATTGTTTTAGACATTTATATCATTATGCAGTGCTTTTTCGAGTTTTCCTCTCTTTCATCTCTGACTTTTCCACACTTTTTCTTGCCGAATCTCATTTCTGGAGTTAATTACAGTGGGGAAAGTATTTCCACCATGGGACACAGTATGCCTTGAACTACAATTAATTAGCCGGGGCGAGGGGCTAGAAGGAGGAGACACCCCACCCACTCCACTTCACCCCACTGACCACTGTCCACTATCCTCCTTCCCCCACCCAAAAAACCTTCAGTTACCTTATTTTATGTTCATTTCCTCTTCATTTACCTTAATTTCTGTTGTTATGTGTTATTTTCTTCATTTTCACTGGATTTATTACTATTTCAAGTTGATAAACAATCATATCAGAGGGGTCACAGAATAATCACTCTCTACAGTGATTTGGAATATCTACAGTGATATGAAATCACTGTAAACAGTCTACAGTGATTAGCAATCACTTCAATTTGATTTAATAATATGATACCCAAACCGTATACATGGATTTTAAAATTACTTTATGAAGTGTTTAAGGATCATTGGGTACTTCGAATACCTGTTGTCTCTGATATATTATGTGGCAGCTCTGAAAAGTATATTAATTTCCCAAGATCACAGTATTTGACAATTACGTTGACTATGCCTGTTGAGATCTTTATTGAAATGTGTGAAAATGAAACTTTAACCAGTCCAGTTTTTCTCTACTTTTCATTCTTGTTTTATTCATATGTGATTTTTTTTGGAAATGATCGCAACTAAATGTAGGCCTAAGTCTGTGTCGATCTCATCACTATTTTTCGCCTGTGCTTAAGTCCGCCATGGACAATGGTAACTAATGATCCCTTCTTCGATATCGCAGCTTTCGCCAGGACGGGAGTGCTCCGACACGGACCTGGAGCCCCCGCCCGCCTCCCAGAGCCAGGACTGCGAGCCCACGCCCCCGCTGCAGCGCCACAACTCCAGCAGCTTCTACCTGCCGCAGGTGAGCGATGCCGGCGGTCTGAACGGCAGCGTTTCCACGGGCGGCGGTGGAGGAGGGGGCGGCGGGGACTCACCGCGCCACATGCGTCTCTACCATCCGCGTCACAGTCCGCACGCGAGGCCCAGGTGAGTTAATTAGCCGTAGCCCTGTAGTTATAGCCCCCCAGCTATTCGCTGTTCGGGGAATCGGATGGCACACGCACCATATACTTGCCCCGATTTCCGGGAACTCTTGCTCGTATATTATTCAAACCGAAAGCTAATTGATTGCTCTATAGGAAGGTGCTCTAAATATAAAGTGGGTATAGGTATTATTGGCATTGCTTATAGCCAGCTATTGGAAATAACATTAATGTGAAGCAAAGTAGATAGAATTTTTCTAAAAAACCCATTCAGTTTTATTTTTATGCACTCTATTAAGTAAGCCTCAAGTAAGAATAACAAATATTTTAGCGAGGAGTACCCACTTTTATTTTAAGCCTCAAGACCTCTGAAGATATTTCATATATCGCGTATACGACTAGTTGTTCGGACTAACTTTCTTTCTAAATAACGTAAAACATAGTTAATTGATAAAAACAATTATTGCAAATAGGGTATTATTCAAGTAATTTTTTTTTTAATTTTTTTAAGATGATTTATTAAATATAGGAGTACAGATATTCAAGTTACGATCGTATAAGAATTCTGTGGGCTTAAATTTGGTGACTGACAGGGTGTTTATTTCTATAGGGATTTTTTAAGTGGGTTAACTGATAAATAAAAACCTTTATTTCTGTAGGGAAATCAAGCTTTCATATTTTTTAATTCTCCAGACGTCGAAGGCCTCCGCAGCCAGTGCTCGGAAATGTAGTATTAAGTTTAACATTGTATGATAAGCTTAATTTGTTAAATAAATAAATAAATAAATTCTCCAGAGAGTTCAGATATGTTATGTGGGTTGTGACCATTGTTTCTCTTGGGTTTCTATTCCGCTTTTAAAATTCCCCCAGCAGTAGTTTTCTTAAGTTGCAACAAGTACGTACACGTGTAGCCAAACTGTTCTGACCACCCATTATTCTACGTACATCCCCAGGGGTCTGGATCCGCAGCGGGGCTATACGAGTGACGCCCTATCGCCGGACCATCCCGTGGGCTATGGCGTCGGCGTCAACGGACCGCAGCAGCAGCAGCAGCAGCAACAACAACAGGCACTGGCGGCGGCAGCGGCGGCGGCGGCGGTGGCAGCACAAAATCAACGCAGCGCGAATACCACGGCCACGCCCACCATGCAGCAGCGGATCAAGCCGCTGGGCGTGGCCACGCCCCTGGTGATGGCGAGTCCAGTGCGAAGGTGAGTGACGCCTCCAGGTTCCAATTTTCCGCCATATGTTTTCATGGTCCCCAAGTTCGTACCACCCACTTGCCCCGCCCCCTCGCTGTTGTTTTTGTTGTTGTAGTTGTTGTTGCTGTTGCTTTTATAGCTTAACCCTTTTCAGCCAGCTGGCTATATCCTTTAGTTGGTTTTTAAATCAAGACACCCCAACAGAGCCAAGAATATTATGTATTCTTTAGATCCTTTTAATTTTTTTACACCAAGTTCCCTGAACCATTCTGGTTTTTTATTATAACATTTTCTAAATACGTTATGATTGACCTAAACTAAATTGTTTCCTATTAGTATTATTGTCTGTAGTATTCATAAGCTTTTTTATAAAATATATTTGTAATTAAAGTCCTTTTCAGCCAGCTGGCTATTTGAGCTTATACCTTTAGTTGGTTTTTAACTCTAGACATCCCAACAGATCCCAGAATATTATGTATTTTTTAGGTATTATGTAAACTGTTTTTTAATATTTTCACACTTGTTTCCATCATTGATATTTATTAGAATTGTTATTTGTAGTATTCATAAAGTTTATTATAAAGTATTATTATAAATCGAGTAAAATGTACATTGATGCACATGAAAAGTTGTGGCACCCCAAAAGTTATCAATATCGCTATAGCCTATGTTATTGTAAACCATTTTTCATACAAATCTAAAGAACTGTTGTTAATGAATGGATTCTAAATCCTGAAGGGTTAAGCGTCATGAGGGTGTGAGCGAATTTTCCTGAATGTGTGCTAGTGCTTGTTTAGTGGTGTTGCTTTGAATGAGCCCACACCTTCAGCTTTAGCTTTACCGTTAGTTTGTTTGTTTATTTCCTTTGCTGGTTCGCCGCCTTTCGCGATTTTCTTGTAGGCCTGAGATCCTGAAGGACTAGTACTAAATTTATGAATAAATCTATGTAAATCCCAGAGATTGTAATATCTATAAAAGTGGGAACTTCACCTTATCGCTCTCCCTTTCTCACTTACCACTTGATGAGTAGAAAGAAACGGGATGGATATACCGGGCGAAAACCCCGTTTCTATGTACACCCCCAGTCTATTTGTTGCACTCACCCCCTCATCCAGTTGGTTGTTTTACCACTCATCTCGCTCTCGGCTCCCCTTTCTCCCATCTTATAAACTAATTAATTATTTTTTCCCACTTTTTCTTTTCCCCCTTTTGTGTGTGGTCTATTAATTTGTAGTCAATACTCAAATTCTGAGAACAGTACTAATTCCTAGGCTTAGCTTAAAGCAAAACCAAAACAAAGAAGTCCGTCGAGAAACAACAGAAAGAACCCAAGAAACAAAAATAATAATACGAATACCCCTTAAGTTTACCAAAAGTGAAGAAAATAAATAAATAATAATACGAAATAAGTAATGCAATGCGTAAGTTAAGCCCGAAAAAGGAACACAAGATATCGAAATGCAGAGGGAAACAAGAAAAAACTGAAAACTGATCCAAGAACCGAACCGTTCCGTCTTACACATAAGATATGAACACCCGTCTTCGTTGTCGTCGTTGTATCTTTCTTCCGCTCGTTCTTCGCTCTTTTTTCAACCTTCACCCGAACCACTGATCCATTGATCCACTGGCAACCACTTGAACTTGAACCACTCGCGAACCGAACCACTCTGCAAGAGCACCCTGTAAACCAAACCGAACCGAAAAAACGTTATCCGTAAACCTTCTACTAAGCACTTCTTCTACTTTCTTTCTGCCGCGCGAGGTGAGTTTTACTTTCTTTCTTTCGTTTCGTTCCGTTTCGCTTTCATTCTTCCGTTTTCTTACCGTTTTCGTTTCCGTTTCCGTTAATTTTGGTTGCCGTTTTCATTTTGCGTCCGCCTTTAACCCTCTCTCACCCCTCACATTCGCATTTAACCCGCGGTTCAGGATCCCCAGTTCCATATGACCATGTTCCATTCTTCGACATTGTCTCATCTCTGTGGTTTATGATTATAATAGTACTGCCTTTCGATTTAACGATGGATTTCTTCTCTGGTCTGCGATTTATTTTCTTTAAAGTAACTTACCATGATGTTAACCTTCGGTTAAATCGTTCATATATTTTTAACTCGCAAGTCTTATTAACTTTGACTGATGAAAAACCAATATATTCATATATTTATTACCTAAAATATTTTATTATCTGGAATTTCGTTACTGTATAAAAAAGGGTATTCTATAAGACTATTACGTTAGGGAGGTTACTAAAATGCCAAGTGATCCAAGTAGTCAATGTCAGAATTGTCGAAAAGATGTCACATACACAAGGTATTGTACATCTAGGTCGGAACTCAGAATCAAGGTATCTAGAACACATTCGAAATCGAAGCAAAATCCAGAAAAATTGTTGTATACCTTACTTCTCTTTCGGCACTCGGCTCTGTCTTCGTTTCTCTACGTTCCAATCGAGAAGTGATAAATATTAGCGGAATCGCTGGAGATCGAATGAGATACTATAAGATATCCAGAGAAATTTAAACAAATCTGAGAAGTTTATAGGTATATTTCAAGTAAATTCAAGGGATATAGGCCAAAGAAAGTCTAGGAGAAGCAAGAGCCATCTATAAATTCCTAGTATTGGTAGAAAATTACAAGGAGAAGCCACCATGAGCAAAACACAGCGACAGGAGAGACAAGAGCGTGAGGACCTTGAGCACCTGAAATCCCTGCATCTGCTGGACAAAACTCTGCCCATTTCGGTGGCCACCGCACCCGAGTTGCGATCCCGCCGGCAGTTCAGTTTCAATGGCCTGCGGTACGAGATGAGTGGGTTGCCACCGCCGCCGCCGCCGCCGCTGCAGATGCAGCTGTCGAGGCTCAGGGCGGGTGGAGGAGGAGGTGGCTCCCAGGAGAAAATGCAAACTCATGGCTCCAGCCACTCCATTACTGCCAAGTTCCCAATGGAGTCAGCTGGCGGAGATCATCAGGGTGGTGGTGGTGGTGGTGCTGGTGGTGTCCCACGACCGGACCAAAAGGGAGTCCTGCCCAAGAGGGTGTCCATGGGAGACAGAGCCCTGCTGATGAACGGAGGCGTTCGGATGCCTCGGCGAACCGAGGGAGACTCGCCCAAGGAGAAGCCAACAGCTGGCCAATCATCATCCTCGAACTGTGGGATCCAAACAGAGTGGCAGGATAAGAAAGAGGAAAAGCAGGAGCGGGATCCCTTGAGGCGCGAAAAGAAGCACCGTCGCAGGCAGCAGTCAACGGAGCTGGAGAACAGAAAGTCCCCCTCGGATGAGAGCTCCACAGGCCTGACCTCTCAGCAGAGCTGGATGTTGGCCCAATCCCTGCTGAAGGCATACGGCAGCGGACTAGTTCACCCGGCCGCCGGCGAGGGAGCCTCCTCCAAGATGGACTACATCACGCTCACGGGACTGGTGCTCGGCTGTGTGGCCTCGCATGCCCTCTTCTTCCTGTGCTGGTACTTCAGCTGGCTGAAAAGCCAGGCGGTGGGTCTGCGGAAACGCTTCCTGGGCAATGCCAATCTGTGGGAGTTCTTCGACCTGGAGGACACCACCCGGTACTCGGTGCAGACCAAACTGGTGCTGGCACCGCTGATCCTCGTCTGCGGACTGCTCTACTGTGTGGTCAACATGCTGCATCTGGTGGTGCAGGTGGTGCGGTCGGATGTGCCGCGCGCAGTGGTTGTGTTTGTCCAGCGGGTGGCGAACAGTGGTCTGCTGGGCACCATCACCATGGGACTGGCCGGCGGAGGAGGAGGAGCGGTGCGCGGGGGACGCCAGAAGCAGGCGATCCGATAATCCCGGTCCATTTTCCGTCAAGGATTGCTCGAGGAACAACCCCATTCGATTCCACATTCCCTCATTGTAGTTGAACCTGGCCAATCATAATGCCTTGGTGGTCTGTTTATTAATAAATGAAAAATGACTACAAACTTGGTTGTGACTTATAAATTTTTAACCCTGGGTTAAATTTTGTTTAATATTCCTAGTTGATTACATATAATAGGGTACGATTAATCTGTTTAACTACTTGTATTTATTACTAAACTCATTGATCTAAATATTCTTGTTGCAAGTCCATATCGACTTAACTGCAAGTTAGTTAACCGGTACAGTCTGCAAGCATTTGTGTGTCCTCTGTTACTAAACGATCTTGACATCCAGCTGTGGTGTAACCCCTTTCTAAGGCCATAATCTCTCACTCACATCAGATCGGCTCAGAACACCCACTATATCTCTGTCTCTCGCTCATCGATCGCTATGTATTTTTCTAACCGTCAGTTAACCGAACTGTTAACTCTGCAGCAGCTTTTGTGCTCGCTCTCAGCATGCTTTTAACAACTAGTTGCGATTGTTTTGGATTAATTGGACCGATTATTAATTCCCGATTTGTGTGTACCTCCAACAGATCCAACCCAGGCACGCCCACCCAGCCGAGACGCCCCGATTTCATCGGACTGAACGCACAGGCGGTGGCGCAGCAGCAGCAACAACAGGCAGCGGCGGCGGCAGCAGCAGCGGCCTACTACGAGTACACCAGCGGTCTGCCGCCGCAGCATCCGCAGGCGCCCAGCATCCAGCAGCAGCAGCAGCAACTGCTCCTCCAGCAACAGCGCGTCCTCATGCAGCACCAGCAACAGCAGCAGGGTAAGTGATCCCTCGATGGATTGCCTGTTCCCTATGCTAATCCCAATCCATTTTCCATACACAGCCCTGCAGCAGCAGCAGCAACAGGCAGCGGTGCATGCCGCCCACCCGCAGCACGCCGCTCTGGCGCAGGCGGCCTACGGCGGCAGTCCGCAGCGGCGCTTCCTCTCCGAGGGCGAACTGGTGCGCCAGGGCGCCAGCGGAGGCGTGGCCGGCGGCGAGCTGTCCTACGCGCGCTCCAACAACACGGTGGATAACATACGAGAGCTGGCCGGCAGTCCGCAGCGAGGCGTTTACATGTGGAAGGACACGTCGCCGGGCTTCACCAGCTCCGTTGGACAACAACAGCAGCTGGGACAGCAGGTGGTCAGCAGTGGTATTGGCAGCAGTGCGGGCACGCTGTCCAGCAGTGGAGCCGCCGCCGCCGGTGTGATGCCGCATGCCCAGTACATGCAGGCGGGCGGTGGAGCCCATCCGCTGATAATGACGCACTCGCGACTCCAGGACTATGCCATCCAGCAGCAACAGCAGCAACAACAGGCGGCGGCGGCAGCGGCAGCAGCCTCATATCATCGCTCCAATCCGACTAGTCCCACCACCATGCCACAGGTGTCCGGAGCCGGCCAGAGCTACATAGTGCGCTATGGAGGCGGCGGAGCGGCTGGAGCCGGCGGCAGCAGTGGCAGCTTGGCCAGCGTGACGGCCACCAATCCAGCCAGCGGAGGGGGAGGCTATCAGCCGGCACTGCGCGGCGGAGTGGCCGTGTTTCCACCCAACCCGCTGGGCAATCCTCAGACGCAGCCCTCGCCACAGATCAAGCGAAAGCAGACGCCCACGCGACCCATGAGCTTTGTGCGTGCGCTGGAAATGACCGACTCCATGGAGATGCAGTCGCTGGAGCAGCAGCAGAACGGTGGAATTCCCGGCAGCGGATCGGTGGGAAACAATCAACAGGCTGGAGGAGGCGGCGGCGGAGGTGGAGGTGGTGGTGGACACCTGATGCAGAGCAACGCCTCCAATTCGGGCACTCCGGATAGGGCCAGCATCTATGACATGAACTACGAGATCTCCGTATAACCCGTGGTGGTGCCCGTGCTTCTGATGCCGCCACCCGCCAGCCAAGCTCCGGGCGCAGCAGTGGCTGCTCCAGCTGCTGCAGCTGCTCCAGTTGCCATGGCCAGCGCTCCAATGCAGCCACAGGGGCAGTTTTACAATGCCCAACTGGAGCCGGCTGCCTATGCATGCGTTCCTGTCCTGCCCTTGAAACCGATAAGCAATGGAATAGGAACCAATAGCCATCAGCACCACCATCATCATCACCAGCAGCAGCAGCAGCATCACCAACATCCGCACCAGAACATCCAAAACCAAAACCACAACCAGAACCAGAACAAACGAAAATTTTCAACCTTCTTTTAGAGGGGGAGACTACCATGTTTTTTTAATTTTTTTTTTATAACGAATGATTTGAAAGAGCGCTATATAGAGAGGTGTATCTAAACCCAGAGCTATTTACACCAGATGTGTGTGTATATAAGTTGCACTGCTGTTGTAGCTATCTCTAAACTTTAAGTAATTTTATTATGTAATTTTTATGCTTGTTTTTATGATTATTTTTTAAAGCACTTTGGAAGACCATTTACATGATCGGATTTCAAAAGAAATTATTTATACTTTTAATGCTTTTTATACATACATATGATCGAAACCGAGAAAATAGAGTGGAGATGAAGAGAATATGAGATAAATTGAATTACGGGCAAGAGGAAAAATACAGTGCGTTTCATGAGGGAGAAACACCAAAGCATGTGCAATGCCACGCACTGTGTTCGTCCTGCCGATCTGCTAAATCTATTATACATATAGTACACACATATATGGAAACCTTTTGCAATCAACTTGAAAATCGCCAAAATTTGTACGTCTTTGTCTGTATGTGTGCCTGTCTGTCTGTGCATGTGTGTGTTTAACATTAGTCTTTATAAATTTATATCTATTTATGCCATATAATGTATATAGGATGTGCTACGTCAGGGCCCAGGTGCAGAGAACTTTGTCATTTGTGTACATAGGTGAAGAAGTTGGAGGGAGACGGAGGAGGAGGAACCGATTTGTGCTTAGAATACAGAGAGAGATTATATAATGTGGTGGCGAATTTAGAGGGTCCAGGGACCCCAGATCTGGACAGATGTTGTATTTCTTTGCTACGGGTTGTGCGAAGCAACTCCTAATCCATGAAAATCTGTAAATAGAACCCCGTTTTGTAAGAACTACCTCCCTCCTCTCCATTATTCCTCAGTCCAGTGAAGCGAAAGGTCAAGTCGCGACAGTGCAGGGACAGTGCGTTTCGGGGCCGTATAATTGCTATACGTATTTATTCAGCAACCTAAGGTTTCATTCGAAGTCATGCTATAAGTTAAACGCACCTTATTTCTCGCTCAGGATATTGATTAGAGGCAAATGTCATTTTCACTTTCACTTTCACAAACAACCCCCTTACAGCCCCGAAACGCACTGTCCCCCGGTTCGTTACACACTCCCAGTAGAGTTTTATATTTTTTTCTTCCCATCATTTACTTAGAATTCGTAAGAGAGAGCCCTAATCTGGAACCGCGATTTTCGGTCCGTGTAACTTGAATGTCGTCCAATTTAAATCAGTTTTGATTTTCCTGTACATAGGTGTAATAACGAATAACGCATGAGAATTCATCGGTTCGAGACTACCAACTACGTACGACGCCTGCTTGCCTCTATAGGCACCCCAACTTTGTTGTTATGTTTTTAAGTGAACTTAGCTTTTATACCGATCCCCAAATGTGTGTGTGTTCTTAGATCAATTCAAAGGCATGTTTCAGTTCGATTTCTTGGCTCGTTTGGTTTATTCGAAAGGCAAATGGCAAATTTCTAGCGATAATATCTGTAAGAAAGTTAGCTGTACACACTACACTCACGCGATCGATCGAGAAGGAGAGAGAATTATACATGTGTAAGGCGATCCATCCCGAATCAGACCCCCTCTTCCCAGCCCCATAGATCATGAGAATTTGCAAGGATCAAAACTTGTATAGACTATGCAATGAGGTGGGCGACCTAGGTTTCTGGGGCGGCGATTTTCGCCTCTAAATTCGATTTCTTCCACAAGCATTATTTGGTTTTTTGTCCATATATTTACTAGGATTTCCAATTATCGAATATTAACTTCCAGTTACAGAGATTTTGGTGAACATATTGCTGCCCCGGCCACGTATTTCGCACGCCTTATATTACGGATCAAGAGTATATATTATACACACGTATATTTAAGCGTTTTTTGCTAACACATTAATTCATGAATTTGCAACAATATTTAATATAAATACCGAAATGCATATACAAACAACAAAAAAAGAACAAAAAACAAAAGAAAAATCGAGAAAAACAAAAGTGTAATGTAAAATGTAACGAGAAAGTAAAAAACAAACGGAAGAAATTGTTTTAGATTTTTATACCAAATTTAATTAATGTAAAACCACGAATTGTTTATTTTTTGTATACCCCGTAACCCCCGCCAGAATGAGAGAAATCCCTGCCAGAGAAATCCTCGAGTTCTAAATTGTTTTTTTTGTATTGAATACTTATGTAATTTGTAAATTATATGACAAGTAATCAAATAGCAAGCATAAACAGCAAGGCAATTAATAAACAATACAAATAAAAGTGCAAAATGAAGTCGATGTTTTCATGTTTATTTATCCTTTGAATTGAGCAAAGTGAAACAAAGTGTTTTGGCGACAATTGTTCAAAAATTAAAATTTTCAGGCTTGATTGCCAATCGATTGTCAATTTTCCTAATTTCGGACACCAGGCGAACATAAACGTTTAGTAGGTGTAAAACGATCAGCTGATTAGCCTAATCCAAGTTTACTCAGAGATGCTCTCGTGATTTCTTCCTTTTGGCACGGCCTAAGCAAATTCATAGGACTTAACTGTTATTTCGTGACAAGGTCGTGACAAGCTGGTGACACGGTCATGGTTGCTCATCTCTGGTCTGCGTTTGGCTCGCAACTAACGGTTCTTTCCCATGGAGATCAGATCCTATTGGTCAGTGGGAGGAGGGGAAATATGTAAAGGGCCGCCATCTTGAAAATGAACAGCTGTTTAAGTTCACTTTTGGCTACCAGCTGCCACTTGCTAAGTTTTCTGTTTGCCTGGTGTCTGAGACCAAGAAACTACATTTCAGACCTCATTGAAATGTCAATAATAGAAATCAGAAGTCCAAAATACCTTATTTGCTCGTCAAGAAAATGGTCGAATTGCTTGGTTTCTTAATTTCAGACACCAGGCGAACATAAACGTTTAGTAGGTGTAAAACGATCAGCTGATTAGCTTAATTCAAGCTTAGTTAGAGATGCCCCAGTGATTTCTTCCTTTTGGCACGGCCTAAGCAAATTCATAGGACTTAACTGTTACTTCATGCATATCGTGACAAGCTTGTGACAAAATCGTTACAAGCTCGTGATAAGCTGGTGACACGGCCATGGTTGCTCATCTCTGGTCTGCGTTTGTCTCACAACTTACGGTCCTTTCCAATGGAGATCAATTCCTATTGGTCAGTTGGGGGAGGGGAAATATGTAAAGGGCCGCCATCTTGAAAATCAACAGTTATTTAAGTTACTTGCTAAAAGTACCAGCTGCCACTTGCTAAGTTTTCTGTTTGCCTGGTGTCTGAGAACCAAAAATCCAGTTTTTGGACTGTAAAAATGTTACGAAGCCTTTCAATTTGTTAAAGTAAACAGCGATTTTTCAATTTCAAACACCAGGTGAACAGGAAAATTCGTAGGTGGCCAACGATTTGTTTTTAAGGCCTTTCTAGAGGTGTGCTACTTAAAAAAATGTAAGGCCTTTTGTTGCCGACCAAGGGATTGGCCCATCTCTAGTCCGCTTCTACTAAACTAACGGTTTCCTTCCAGTAAGAACATGTTAACGCCCAGTAGTCACTTGCTAAGGATTATGTTGGCCTGGTGTCAAATATCAAGAACTTAGCCGTAAAACTCGCAGGTGAAGATCAATTTTGTGAGGAAAATTTCTCCATTTTAATTGAGTTTGATTTTAAGCGAAAATACCCCTATTTTGTGCGTTTTTTCCATTGTAACTTGTTAAAAAAAATTGAAAGACATTAGCTTACAAAAGCAGTTTTTCAGCATCCGCTGTACAATTTATTGTTTTTTACATCAAATCGATTTATAGACTCAATTCAGGCTTAACTAAAATTGGAATTATCAACACTGTGTTCAACATAAACTTAAACTAGGGGATCTCAAAATTGCACTAAAGAAGGGAGGACGTGAAGATCTGCTTCAGGATGTGAGGTAGCTTGGTGAGGTCCAGGCAGACGTAGCTCTGTCCCGCCGGCATTTCCGCATTGATTCTGGAAGAAAGGAAAAGAGACAGTTGGAACTGTTTTTTAAAAAGTTTTAGGAGTAGATAATACTTACTCATCGGCCTCCTCGGCCAGACTGCCAATGAAGATGGCATAGCCCTTGACCTTCGGTTCGCCCCGCTTGAGGGCCACAGCCAGATCCTTGGGGGCGATGCCGTAGCGCTGCAGATTGGCGTCGCTGAGGACCACCACAATGGCATTATCGTAGTCCTGCTCCGCTCCCAGCGCGGAGCAGGCCTCCCGCGCCGCCTTCACCGTGGAGTCGCCGGACCAGCAGAACTGCGAGTGCGCGTGCATCATCCGGATGGCCTCGAAGCGCTCCTTGTCGTTCTTCGGCGGACTGCCGGCGGCCACAAACGGAATCTCCCAGCCCTCGCCGCTGTGGCCTACGATGTCGTAGACGATCTTCTTCTCGAAACCCTCGAAGGCCTCCATCACCATGACTACGGCCTCCAACTGACGGTCCAGCCGTCCATCGTAGCCATTGAACCTAAAGGATGAGAATATAATTTCATTTACCTCGTTTTGACCAAGTAACTACTGAAAACCCGCATCCTTCTACCTATTTTTTGACCCAAACAAACTAGGTTTTTTGGCAATAATTTTGCGAAATAAAGTCGGAATTGGGAATGTCATACCTCGTTGAGCTCGTAATTAAATTCCCAATTGATTGGCATTCAAACCCGTAAACTTTAATTTTTTACCGAATTTCGCAAAAATAGACGATGTTACCCCTTATGAAAAAAGTTAAATTGGGTCAAAAATTAAATTTCCCGGAATATGGTGGGGATCGTTAGCCTAGGTTGTTTGCTGCTCAAAACAGTTAGTCTTTTAGCTGTGCGCCTCGTTCTGACCAAGTTACGTTTGAAAAACCTCATAAAAATAGGGCTATTTTGGTCTGAAACCCTACTACCCCTTTTCCGACCCAAAAAACAAAGGTATTTTGGCAATCATTTTGCGAAATAAAGTCGGAACTTGGAATGTCATACCTCGTTGAGCTCGTAATTAAATTCCCAATCGATTGGCATTCAAACCAGGAAACTTTAATTTTTGACCGATTTTCGCAAAAATAGACGATGTTACCCCTTACAAAAAATGTGAAATTGGGTCAAAAAATAAATTTCCCGGAATGTGATGAGGATCGGAAGCCTAGGTTGTTACCTGCTCAAAACAGACGGTCTTACGGTTACGATTGAAAAACCTCTTAAAAATAGGGCTATTTTGGTCTGAAACCCTAACCCGACCCAAAAAACCAAGGTATTTTGGCAATCATTTTGCGAAATAAAGTAGGAATCGGGAATGTCATACCTCGTTGAGCTCGTTATTAAATTACCAATTAATTGGCATTTAAGCCCTGAAACTTTTTTTTTTTAACCGATTTTCCAAAAAAAACGTGATGCAAATATCCATACACCTCCCCACCAAACTCACCTGTACATCGAACCTGATACATCCACTACGAGCTTGAGACGGTTGGGCTTCTCCTGGACGTGATCCGCCCAGGGATTGGCCTCCGCCCGTCGCCTGTAAATGTTCTTCTCGCCGGTGATGCCCTCGACGAGTCGGGTGTCGTCCAGATCGCCATGGGTCTGGTACTTCTGCCACTGGCGCTCTTTGCTCTTCGTCTGCATGGCGTCCATGATGGCCTTCAGCTGCTGCACCTGCTTGCGATTGGGCTCGCTGAACTGGGCATACAGCTTGTGGTCGTGGGCGGACATCTTGATCTCCTTGAGCTTCTCCTCGAACGCCTTGCGGTTCATTTCGCGGGCCGCCCGCTTGATCTCCTCGGGCACATCGGCTTTCTCCTCGTCGCTCAGTTGATGGACCTTGTGGCCCTTGTCCAGGCGGAAGGGTCCGCCCTTGCCGCCCAGTCCGGCGGTGTCGCGGCCACCGCTGCCCCCCGCCCACGTGTTGCCGCCCACATGCGGCTCGTTCTTGGGATCCAGCTTGCCGAATTTGGGCCCAGAGACGCCCAGTCCGCTGTGCCGGTTCACGGATGCCTGAAGCTTCTTCTGGCGCCTGATGGCCTGGATCTCCTCCTCGGCGTACGACTCGATGCCATGCTTGGCCAGCACCTGGGTGACCTGCTGCAGAGCCTCGGGCTGATAGCGATCGAAGTCCAGCACATTGCCCACCACCTCGGACATGTTCTCCTCCGGGTAGCGCTCCAAGTGCTTGACAATGCTTACCACCTCGCGGGTGGAGTATGGATAGTTGAGCATTCCCTCGTCGGCGAGCGTTCGAAGTTCGCCGAAGGCGTTTACCAGGGTGCGTAGGGTTTTGATCGGCACCTTGGGTCCGTATTGCTGCAGCAGGAAGATCTCGGAGTCCGGGTCGGGATTGCTGATGGCGTGGCAGCTGAAGACATCGCCCAGGGCGGCAAAGAAATCGTTGCCCAGGAAGGGAAAGCCCGGCCGATTGGCCAGCACGATTAGCCGGAAATCGGGATGGGTTTCAATGGAATTGGGCACCCTTCCACCGGCGCCCGGCGGCACTATCCTCCGGCCATCGGCCAGCACCATCTCGCCGCACTCCACCAGGGTGCGCAGGATGCAGGTTACATTCACCGGCGCCTTGTCCGCCTCGTCCACCACCAGAACGTGGCCGGATCGAACCGCCTGGACGAGGGCACTGTCCTCATACGACACCTGGCCATCCTTAAGCGTCGCCTGGAGCGTCAGGCTGTGCACCGTGGTGTCCCGATGCAGCTGGATGTACTCCCTGGGACGCTGCATCAGCTCCAGCAGGCGGTCGACCAGCTTGTTCTTGCCCACTCCCTGGTTGCCCACCAGCAAGAGGTGCTCGCCGATGAGGTAATCCTGCAGCAGGCGCTCCAGCAGCTGGACATGCTGCGGCATCTCGTAGAACAGCGTGCTGGGCACCTTGGAAAGCTGCGCCTGGCTGGGATTGCCCAGTGGCCAGCGGGTGGAGCCGATTCTGAGGGTGTTTTCCTCCACAGCTATCTGATCCTTTGTGCTTCTGGGTTTAGTCTCGCGTGGTCTGATGCCCACCTGTTGGATGGCCTGTTCCAGGGCACTCCTCGAAAGGGTCGGCATGAATCTGGCCAGGAATGTGTTCTGCAGCATTTCGTGGACATCACTCAGCTCACTCTGCGGATAGGCAGCCAAACGGCGGGCCAGTTTCAGTAACTGCCGGGTGGACAAGGTGCCCGCCAGTCCTTGTAACAGGGGATCCTGGGAGGACCTCAGCAGTTGGGCGAGTTTCAGCAGTGACTCCATGCCCGAGGGCAATTCGCCACCGCAGAGCTGAGCCAGCAGTTCCTGTTCCTCGCTCTGGCGCAGCGGACGCAGCTCCTGGTATAGAAATAGGCTGAGAAGTTCCGGAGTCAGCCAGCTAGGCTGTCCACCACCGGGACGCGGTGGCTCTGCCAAAGCCACCACGCGGAACGACTGATGCATGGGCAGGAAGCCGAGTCCGGCGAGTTGATCCTCGGTGAAGCCCTGCTGGAGCAGGGCCTGGTAGCGATTCGCTCCCAGAAGAGTGGTGCCATCGCACAGCTGAAGTTCCCGATCGTGAATGAGACTGGAAAATATAAATAGTTATGCATATATAATATTTTATGTGTAAATCGTTTTTTCCCGGACTCACCGTTGCAAAACGCTGGCCGTGCTTTTGTGGAGGCGATGCAATCCATTCAAGACCGCCACGGATCCCGACTTGGCTGCCCGGACCAGCGGCGAGTCCCTCCAAACGGTGTCTCCCTGCGGACTCGTGATGCGCTGCTGGACGATGTCCCTGCTGGTCATGTCCTCGTACAGCATCATGGGCTCCGAGGTCTGCCGGAGCAGGCGGAGCAGTTCCTGGGTCAGGGTTAGCTTGCCCACGCCCTTCTCGCCCATGAGGCACACATCCCCCACGGCGTAGGCCTGGAGCAGGCTGGCGAGGGCCTGTCGCTGATGGGGCAGGTCCACGAAGCTGCTGGCAACCGGAGGAGTCTGTCCGCCAGGCAGACTCAGCTGCAGGTCATCCAAGTTCAGAAGAACTTGCCCTTGATCTCCAGCCTTACTCTCGATTTTCTTGATGCTCCGGCTGGGTATCAACTGAATGTCCAGTTTCTGGAGCAACTCCTCCACGCGCTTCTTTTGATCGGGCTTCAGCATGGTTTGATATGGATATGTGCCACTGATGACATCGTGCAGACTCAGCGAGGGATTAGCCTCCTGGAGGAAGAAATCAAAGGAAATGTGTGAGAACCTCATCCAGGATGGTACGACGTGTATGTGGCTACCAGCATTTTCACACCCAATTGCAAGTTGTGAAGGGGAAAGTCCGGCAGTTGGAGCGCCGGATCCGCCTGCTGCAGGGTCAGGGCGAAGGTTAGCAGCTGTTTCAACTGCTCGCCGGGCACAGAGGGCGCCTCCTGCTGCAGTTCCTCGTACAGCTCGCCGTAGGCGTAGGTGGTCACGTTGCGGGACTGGAAGCGGGAGCGCAGTGGCGGGTCCAGCGGCGTGCCCTTGTACTTGTGTGTGGGCAGACCCAGGGCCACCACACGGAATTGCTCGGAGACGCGCAGCAGTCCCCATTCGTCCAGCTGTTCCCGCGAGTGTTTCTGGAATAAACAAAGGGTGGTTAGCTTGGGATTAGGTCCACACAGGCTGACCCACCTCCAAGAGCTTGTCGTAGCGCTCTGGGGCCATCAGGAACTTGCCGCTCTCCAGGTGCATCTCCCGGTTCTCCAGCAGATTGTTCAGTATGGGCAGCACATTCCGCTCCGCGTGCTCCACTCCGTCCAGCACCAGGACACGACCATTGAGGGCCGCACGCACGGCTCCCTGGTCGTGGTAGATGGCCGCCTTGTCGTGGATCTCGCGTCGCTGCTTCAGGTCGCTCTCGGTGGTGTCCCTGCTCAGGGCCACGTACTCCACCTCGCGCTGTGTGAGCTCTAGGAACTGCATGGCCAGCTGGCGGCGCAGGGGCCCCGGCTGTCCCAGCAGGAACATGTCCTGCCGCAGTGCATCCTTTTGCAGCATCCAGCGCAGGTGGTGCATGGCCGACTGCGACAGCTGGAGGGTGCCATCCGGAGCGTATTTCACTGGTATTTGATTGGAGAACAAGGGAGATTTTTAGCTTTTGGTATATAAGTAATTTAAAATATTAACCAGATGAAATAATAATCTCTCCACAAGTACATAGTCATGAAACTTTAGCAGTATTTACGGATAGACATAATATATACATACATATTTGCGTCATTGGGTCCTATATAAAATATGAACTATTCTCTATAGGATAATCATAAAAAGTAAAATCTAAAAAAAATGTGCAACCCATATTAATATTTTACAAAAAGTCATTTAGGCTTAAACGAAAAATTATTTCATAACGTGACTAACGAGATAACTTACAGGGGTATGTTCTGTGGCATTAGGAAATTAATAAATACATTTAACATTTTACAAAATCTACATAGAGGAATAATACATCTTTGCTTCATTAGACCCTACATAAAATATACTTTCTTATCAATGGAATAAGCCAGAAACATTTAAACTCTTAAAACAGTTTTATTTTGAACATAACATTTAATAGAATTTCCTTGATGATTCGTAAAATCACATAAACAAATGTATAAGAGCCTGTACGCAAATTTTGCAAGTCCAACTGCCAAATTTTGGCTATTTCATAAAAACATGATCAAACTCTTTATATATAGTTCGAAAAAGAAATTTGGAGTGGGTTTAGGATCTGTTTGGAGCAAATATCACCGGTTAGGTGAAGAGACAGCTATAAAGTGTTTACTGATAATATGATCTAGGCTTTTCTTCTATCGAGAGTTAATCATCGGAGTTATCCCTTTTTGGCATTCGACTTGTTTTTTCCCTTTTTCCTATTGGGTGGCTGCTTTGGATTCGCCTTGCACTCGATGATCCCTGTTTGGGCGATGCGCAACTCCATCCGCTCGGTGGCGAAGCCTCTGCGCTTGCCCAGTTCGGAGAGTCCGACGATGAAGTCCCTGATCCTGGCGTCCTTCACCAGGAGAATCGTGGGCAGCTGCTGCATGAGCAGCCGGCGGGTGAGAAACGGTGCGTTGGCCGAGTCCATCTTGCAGAACCTGGCCTCCATGTGCTTGGGTGCCAGGATCTCCAGGTGCCGGTCCACGATCCTGCACTGCTTGTTGTCGACGCCATAGAAGTGGCACACAAAGTCCCGCGACTTCTTCGTCATCTTGAAGAACTCCTTTTCATCGGCCAGCTCCGTGTATTGCCCATGGCTGTTCTTGATCCACTCCCGCTGCTTCTTTTCGGTTACTTCCTTCATTTCTGTGGGGTTGTCCTTCAATAGCCAGTCGATGCAGCTGGTTCTCTAGAAGATCAGTGTCTTATTCGCTCTCGGTGTTGTCCTTGTTTTTCGTACTTGTTGTTTTAATTTTACAGATTCTATGTTTACTTTACTTTGAGACGCTGGAATCAAGTCTGACTTGTCGAAATCTTATATTTTAAGACTTTTATGTCCATAGGTATTAGGTAACTTGGATCTTCAAATTTAATTTCCCTTTTTAAAATACTTTTTTATATGGTTTCTATATGTTAAATCAAAAGGACCTATCAGATAAGTATCTTTACGATTATTTAACTGTTACATAGGAATATATATTTATAAATCATTGCGAGATAACATTGTATTTCTATTTTCATGATATTGATATTCTTATATTCTTTGTGATATGATATTTAAGTGATATTGTACTATATGATTGGAAGATAACTTTATCTTTATGAATACAGCCATATGTTATGACTTAGATATTTTCTAAAAACTGTTAAGATGATAAGATATAGTAATCCGATAAAAGTTTTTTTGCGATCAGGAAATAAATTATGGATTATTTGGAGTACTGGAATTCTGCTTTGTCTTACTATCTCAAGGATGATCAATGACATGATACAATGGGGAAATGGCCTGAATCTGCAGGGCGCACGGTGATAGAGATACCTAGTTGACCTTTGTACTGGCCGGAGATCTTGGTCTACCGGAGTCCCCATGCTCACCGTATTGCTGCGGCACCAGCTGCGGATCCTTGGGCCTGCGCAGCCGCACGCTCACATCGCCGATGGTCAGGCTGTCGTCCTCCGGATTCTTTCCAGACGCCGTGCTCGCCCAGCTTCGCCGCCACATCCCGCCGTTCCGGAGGCTGTGACGCAACAGGTGGCCGTGGTGGGTTTGCAGGAGGTTGGCCAGCATGGCCGTCGCTGAGGGGGGTTCGGTGGGGCCTTAGTGGGACAACTTAAATCGGGCTGGAGCACCGAAAAATAGGTTGTTTTTACCGGATTTATTTGGCTAAAACGGCGGCGGTCCGCGCGTGTTTACCAGAACAGTGCTGCCCATGGGCAGAACAGCTGATGGGACAGTGCTGCCCTTGTCACGGTTTGAGTCTCCGCTTAGCCGAAGAATAAAAGAACACCCTTGTTGTGGGTATTTTTAGGCCATCCAACTACGGTCACACTGGCAGAAACGAATAACGCAATTGGAAGCCTTTTTAACATTTAGTGATTTTTACCTATTTAACTGCAAATTAGCTAGTTTAAAATGACCACAGCAGCGCGACCGACCTTTGACCCCGCCCGCGGAGGCTCCGGTCGCGGCGAGAAGGACCTGAGTGCGCTGAGCAAGCAGTACTCCAGTCGCGATTTGCCAGGCCACACCAAGCTGAAATACAGGTAGTATTAGCTAAAGGCGATTATTGGGTAATCGAGGGACTAACTCGCATATGTTTCGCTTCAGGGAGACGGGCCAGGGCACCAGCGAGGAGATCCGCAACCGGGACTTCCGCAAGGAGCTGGAGGAGCGCGAGCGCGAGGCCCGTTCCGGACCAGGAGCCACTTCCTCTTCTGGGAAGGCTCTGCCCTCCATTGTGCGCAAGGCCATCGAGGCGAACAATGCGGGAGGAGGCGTCGTCGCTGCAAAGCGGGCCAAACCCGATGTCCTGCAGCAGCAGCAGCAGTTGCAGCAACAGCAGGCCGCCAATCTGGACGCCGATGAGCCGCTGGACAACGACAGCTCCGACTCGGACAGCGATTCGGATGACGACGATGCCGCCCTGCTGGCCGAGCTGCAGAAGATCAAGCAGGAGCGCCTCCAGGAGACGGCCCGCCGCGAGTCGGAGAAGAAGCAGGAGGACGAGCGCATTCGCATGGAGAACATCCTCTCGGGCAATCCGCTGATCAACTACGAACCCGGCACCGCCGCCTCAGCCGCCGGACGTGCCTCCGGCCTGGGCGGCGACCTTAAGATCAAGCGCCGCTGGGACGACGACGTCGTGTTCAAGAACTGCGCCCGCTCTGCTCCCGAAAAGAAGACCCACTTCGTCAACGACGCCCTGCGCTCCGATTTCCACAAGAAGTTCATGGACAAGTACATCAAGTAGGCGTCTTAGGATTCGCTTTAAGATTTAAGCGCTTTTTTGTAATAGTTTAAGTAAACCAATTGTCAACTTTTTTTGGCCTTCCGCCTGACCATTAAAATTCGCATTTTGTAAGCATAGTTTGTATCGGGTTTTGTACGGAAAGTGGTCCAGATCATGGGCAAAGCATATCTTAAATCATATCTATGGATGTAGAAATATTGTTCTTAATCTATTCTAATGGCCCACATTGATTTTAAATGCATTTTTTAAGATAACATTATAGGATTCATTTCGTGCATATTTGAAAAGAGATTTGGTCATTGTAATGCTCCATAAAAGAGATTTATTTTGGTACGTATTTAAATCGAAAAAATCTCTATAAAACAATCAAAATTAAACAAATTTTTTGAGCTCTGTTGCCTTTTGGCTTTGGTATAGGACAATACTTCTCTGTGGACAGCATACATTTTAATTGCCTTTTTCAAAAAGTTCCCATTTCAAGAGTCATTCTACAAATTCCACCAATTTCATTTAGTTTTTGAATGTTTCTACTTTATTTCACAACATTGTAAATCTCCTTAAGGACTTGTGTTCAGTACGATCGAACGTCATTACCTTTCGGCCTAGTAATATACAAATGGCTTAGATAAAGGTTTACAGGGCTACCTTTTCTTTTATTATCTTGCCAGTCTTCTTAAATTGCTGAGGTCGACTTTATTTGGGGAATAGGTACGCTTCCCTCGGGCTGTGACCCAATGACTGGGGGCTGACCGCGAGTGCGAGTCCGAGAGCGAAGGGCAGGAACCCTAACCAAAGTGTGAAACCGCAAAAAACATCGGTAGCCCGTCGAGGGACAACAGCAGCAGCCACCAGAGGCGGCGGACCACGATGTCAGGGGGGGTGAGGGTCGGAAGGGGCACGGGGGCAGCAGCGGTTACGTGAGCGCACGAAGAAAAGCCCAAGAAGCTCAAGACCAAGCCCAGGAAGCCCAATGCCCAATGCCCAATGCCCAATGCCCAATCATCGTGGCGATCATCGCAAGGGCAATTGTCGCTGCTGATGAGGCACGAAGCAAAATCAATTTGCCCCAAGGAGCCGGGCCAAGCAAGCGCAAAATAACTTGGTCAATTACGCCGACCCAAGCAGCCCTGCAACACGGTTAGAAAAATCTGGTGAACCAAAAATATGCAATATTGAAGAGATATGTTAAATTTGAAGAGAAGAATTCCACTTTTTATAATCGCAAAAAGTCCATAATTCCATTTAAGAACAAAAAAAAAATAATGAACAATAAAATTATGAGTTATTCATAGACATCTTAAGTTTAGTACCATGACTATGTATTATAAAATAGGAATGCTGCTTGAAATTATAAAATATGTATTTAATATCGAATGAAATATAAAAGTGGGCGTAAGGAAATGTAATATTCTATCATTTCTGAGCAAAGCTCTTTTATATACGATTTTCGCTCAGTGCAGCTGCGGCAACAGCGAATGCAAATCATCTGGAGGATCTGGATTTCCACGCCTCTTTAATGCCCCGCACGCGGCCTGCGCCATCTGAGGATCTGAACTCCGACTTTGTCAATGAGCCCACGTTCCGACTCCGAATCGGACCTCTATATATGTGTATGAACCCATCTTGCCGCTGGCAGGGATCAGCAACTGGTCGCGACCCCGCTCCCAAAAGTTGACGAACGCTCAATTTTACGCTAATTCGATCAGAATCAAAATCAAACAAAATTATCCTGTCCACAGTCGGCAAAAGCGATGATGATCCTCTTACACTGGCCAACATGGTTAGGATATGTGATTATAGGCTTGTTTTAAAATTATCTAAATACGAATAGTAGTTAAAAATGAATGTATAACATAAGTATTATTATAATTATATTATAATAGCTGTCTGTGACTCTAAGCAAATATGCGATAAAAAACAATAGACATATTCAAAATCAAGAAATCTATTTCTGGCCTTAAGATAATAAGTTTTAAAGGATTTTATGATACTTTTTGAAAACTTAAAAAATCGATTGCGAGACCAATAAGGGTATAGTTGTATGTCCAATACATTAGTTTTCCAAAACAAAGGTAATTTTTTCAAAATCCTTTTTAATCTAAATAGAAATACCTCAAGATATCAATAGGCTGTGTTCTCCAGTGCTTGGATTGTGATTGACAATGATGATTGGGAGTATCGCATCGCTGTGATGACGCTGCTAATGCTAATGATAATCATGATGATTGTTGTTATTACGCTGCCTGTGCTTCTGATTCTGTCCTACGTCCGATGTCCGATGTCTGGAGCTCTGCAGTTTGCCGTCCTCCTACGGTGGCAGTGAAAATGCCGAAGCCCCGACCCCCACTGAGCATAATTTATTTCCTGTTTGGCATTATGCATCCCCATTATTTGTGCATTCATCAAGAGACGGGTCCGGGTTCGAGTTCGGAGCCAATCTGCATTCAAGTTGTTGCTGCTGCACAGGGAGAAAATCCCCAAAATGTGTTTTGTAATATAATTGCAGAAGTATAAAGAAAATATTTAGATGGCCTAGTAAAAGAAACTATTGTGGCGCATAATAAAAAAAAAAGGGCGCCTTGGTTTTGTAAAAATAAAAGTAAATTCTAAAAAAAAATTAAAAATATAAAAAGCCAAATCCCAAAATAACTTAAAATAAGTAGATATATAACTCTGCATGTTAATATATCTATAAAAGAAATCTATAATAATCATAATCGTGGTATTTGCATAGTCGAGGTCCTTAGATTTTAGAGTTATTAGATTTGTGGATCATACTGACATTATACAAATAAAGACGAATTATATAAAGAAACACAAGGCTTTAAAAATTGATTTTCGAGGGGACTGAAACTAACGAGCTTTTCGCTCAGTGTGATCCGATGTTGCTGCTGCACTTTTCGGTAGTCGCCGCGCGCTAAATTGTGGCCACCGAACGAGGGCCAAGTCAAGACTGGAACTGGAACTGGAACCTGGTCCTCTGGCAACTGGCCACTGGGCAATGGCCACTGGCAGTGCCACTTCCACTTCCACATCCACATCCACTTCCATTGCCACTGCCACTGCCACGGCCTATCAATTGTCAGCAATTTCGCAACTGCATAAACTTGAAAAGAGCGCAAAAAACGCGAATAACTACAGACAAACCAGCGACCAACTGCATAAATATGGCGACTGGCCGACGGAAATGGCCGTCGCGGTTGCAAGTGACAAATAGCCGGGGTTAAGCGGGGGCATCAGCGGGTTAAGGGGCATCAGGGGCTAAGGGGCTAAAGGGTTAAGGGTTAAGGGGGACGGGGGAACTGAACCAGTTGACCATCAAATAAAGACCGCGAACATATGTTTTTCTGGCCGGCGAGAATATGGCCAACACCAAAAGGAGGCTGGGCCTTCGATTTGACCCCGAAAAATTATTGGGAGTGGTGTGGGATCGGAAGAAATGTTAACCGTCTATTATAATATATATATACATTAATATATAATATAATATAATCGTTTTTTACAAGTACTGATAAGGACCACTTGGGGAGCCCCAACATACCTTACAAAAATGGTGGTGATAAGAAATATTTTCAGGATCATTCAAATAGATTTCGCTATGCATTGATTCCTAGTTTTGAGTGGAGTGGATAGCTTTATATACATAGAAGATTTACCTAAACTAAATCCAAATTGGTAATCAGAACTTTATGATTATTTTAACTATGGTTAGATGGGGTATACCAAACTTTATAGATTAAAGAGGATTATTAATTAATACCTTTACGAAATGAAATTCTAGTGGATATATAAATATCCGATTTAGGCTTTTTCAGTCCTACCAAATATTTAGTTTTCATTTAAGACAGGAAACAACCAAACTCCCATCCTCGCACAATTATTTGTATCAGTTTTCACTTCAGACAGGAGCAACATGAATTGCACTTGCAACAGCAACATCGGCACACAGTAGCAACACGACCCGAGGTGGCGACACTTTATTTAGCTTTAAACTTTTATGGAATGCAGATTTCACTCAGCTGTTGCTCCTGGTGTCGCTGGGATGTCCTGGGACCAGGAGGGGACGACCTGAGAGCTGCTAGCTGGCCAGGATTCTCGGGGATGCAACTGCAAACTGCAACTGATGCTGCATAATTTAGTTGGCCAATTTACACTGCAACCGTTGGCCACTGAGTGCAACCGGAAATGCAGGCAGCCAACACAGCCACCCAAAAGGCCAAAGCATTTTTGTGGCCTTTTCCGGAGGAAAGTCGAGTGTGTTTGGGTGTATTTTTATTTTCATCCATTTTCATTTTTTTCACATTTGGGGTCGACCGCCTGCACTTGACATATTTACTCGCAATGGCCGTTTGTAAATCGCCCCTGCCCGAAAAGGATTCTGGGTTCAGGGGTCAAAAGAGGCAATCAGTCGGCGTTTATTTAGCAGGGCTAATGTAGAGGGTGAATGCTTAATGCATTTAGAAGGTATAAATGCGGGTTTTTTAAATTAAGAGTTTGATTAGAAGCGACCGTACTTAGGCTTGTCAATTTAAATCAAGTATTAGTATTTTAATCTAAGTCTATCTAATACTATCTGAAGTTCTTAAGCATGTCTAAGATATATGCTCCTACATGATAGGTTAGTATATATCTTTTATTTTTCCTTCTACAATAGAAAAAAGGTAATTTCATTAACCTTCCTGCCTCGTATCAGTAAATAATCGACCTAGCCCATCTTTTCCCCTTTTTCTTGTGTCACAACCATGCGAATCTTGTGTGGTGACCTCTCAATCAGGAAATGCAACAATAACAGAGTCTGAGATCTGAGAACTGATGGGGGTTTTCGCCCGTTGATAAAACTCCAGAGCCAACTAATTCCAAGTGGTGGCTAACACGATTAAAAACAAATTTCACCTACGCACAATCTCCCATGAAGTTTGCCGTCTGCCATTCCATTAACTCTCTAGAATTGTAAGTGCACTGTGAAAATATATAGGTGGGTAAATGGTGGAATCATAAATTTAGAAAATTAAATCAAATCAAAATGCAATTTTTTGAAAATTCAAATTTGCTGTTCTGGAAAACCTTGAAAATCCCAACAACTAAGTAATCGCCTTGTTCGAATTCTATAGGGCGT